CAGTGCTGCCCCCTCTGATTCGCTTTAGACTGCTTTCTTCTGGTCCTTTCTCTGTGAACACTTCTTGTGATCATTTGGCATATAGAGCTTGTTTTTTGGTAGTACTGGGGTTTGAACTCAGAGCCTCTCAGTTGCTGGACAGGCACACTACCTCTTGAGCCACACCCCAACCTAGGCAGTACTTTTAAGAGCAAAATTAACACAGCATTGTTTACAGGTCCCAGAAGAAAATATGTTTTGAAGCAAGGCTGAGACTGTCAATACTTACCAATGGTGGCTTATAATTAATCATTCCCTATTAAAAAGAAAAAACAGTGACTCAAGTTTCAAAGATTCAGAAAGCCATTACTTAAGTTCCTTGGCAGAGGAAGTGGCCTTTATGTTGCTCCCTGCAGCTGCTTTTGTGAAAGGGGAAAGAAAGTCTTTTCATTTGGTGTTTCTCTGAGCTCACCAGCTACCCTCCAGTGCAACAGAACAGCCCCTGCCATTGTTCAGGCTGATGGCTAAACATGCAGAGCTTCCATCTGGAAAGGGAAGGGTTGGGGAAGTGACATTTTTCCTGGAACTGGCAATGGCAGAAGTAGAAGAGGGAGCTCCCTCTGGCTCCAGACTCCTTCTCTTGCTTCTGCATTTCCTAGTGGTGAAAATCTGGCTTCTTTGATCCCCAATGCAGGGTCTGCCCATCACACAACAAGAAGGGCACTATTTCAACCACTGTGCTCCTGGGAGTTCCTGGGGTGGAGACCCTGTCCCTGTGGGCACCTAACAGGTATTAAGCACTTACTAAGTTCTCTGATGCGTGGCGAGCAGAATCTTAGAGTCTTGTAGTCATTGTGGGGTTGAGGGTGGGGTGGGGACGTGCATACAATACACAGTCATGCATCACTTAATGATGAGGATATGGTCAGAGAAATGTGTCGTTAGGTGATTTTATTGTGTGAACAACATAGAGTTGTGCAAACTAGATGGTATAGGTCAGTCCTTGACGTGGTCTCTTGATGGTATCAAGAGATATAGTAAATAGAAGTGTTTGGCGCCAGCATAACATAGCATGCTGTTTTACAGGAAGTAAATCTTCTTTAAGAAATAAATGGAGGGGGCAGCTGGTAGAGTGGATCAAGAGGTAGAGCACCTACCTCGCAAGCATGAGGCCCTGAGTTCAATCCCCAGTACCACCAAAAAACAACAAAAAAAGAGGGATTAGGGGTATGGCTCAAGTGGTAGAACACGTGCCTAGCAAGACTGAGGCTCTGAGTTCAAACTCCAGCAAAAAAAAAAAAAAGGAATCCAGGTGTTAGTGGCTCACCCCTATCACCCTAGCTACTTGGAAGGCTGAGATCAGAAGGATCCAGGTTTGAGTTCAGCCTGGATAAATAGTTTGTGAGACCCTTCTCCAAAATAACCACTGCCGAAAAACTAGAGATGTGGCTCAAGAGGTAGTGCCTGCTCGGCAAAGGCAAAGCCCTCAGCCCAAACCCTCTATCTATCTATCCCACCAAAAAAATAAATAAATAAATAAAAAAGAGTGGCAGCACAATAGCTTGCTCATAACAGCATCATCACAAACACATGAGTAAGTGTAGTGGTCCAAACTTCCAGCTGATTTCGCTGGATGGTAGGAACTTCTTGGTTTTGTCATGATCTCATGGGACCACTGCTATACATGTGTCATGTGGCTGACTGAAACATCCTGTAGCATTTGACTAGAGCTCAGGATGCCAGCCTGTGAAAAGTGGTAAGGAAAAGATGAGCTGTCCATGGTCCTTGACCCTACCTTGGACTTTCATGCAAACTGCACTTGTGTGTGTTGTGTTACATGCTCCTAAACTGCCTTGTGAATTCTCATAGCCACTCTTCAGCCGATGGAGGCTGCTGCAAGCATGGCAATGGAGCCACCCACCAGCACCCAGCCCTCTTCTGTCAGGGCCTCCATCTTTGTTCCTCCAAGTCCATAATTTGGGCATGGACTTGATGTCTGCGTTAGGTTTTCTCCAGTGGAAAATGGGACAGTAAAATTATTGATAGAGTAATTAGAAGGGTCTTCTAAAGTTAACTGCATTCAGGCAGAGATGGAAGTCACTATGTGGACTGGATGTGGTAGCTGTCTTCATCAGGTGCTCATAGGATTTAACTGGACCATGTGTTCAGTTCTGAAAGAAAGGGACACACATGTACACACCAAAACCAGCAATTTCACTCTTTGGGAAGCTCAAACATTTTCAAGAGAGTTGGTAGCCACAAAGCAATGGAAAGGACTCCAGACCTCCCTCAATGGGAGTCACACAATGGAATATTACAGAGAAGTGAAAATGAATGAACTGCCTCTGTATGTAAACGACACGAAAACATATGAATGAAAAAGCATGCCACAGAAGATGGCATACAGCCATTTAGATAAAGCTCGAAAATCATTTAGAGATTCAGAAGTAGTGAACCTATTTTTAAAAGTAAGAGAGGATAAACCTCAAATGTGAAGTGTATAGAGGGGAGGTTGGGGGAGCCCAGAGGAAGCCTCAGAGGTAAATGATCATGTTACAAGTTTTTAGGTTGCCAAGAGCTGTTGGGTGTTTTATATTTCATAATTTTAATGAATATTACTTATATTAATTTTCATGTGTTCAGTATTGTGTGATGCATTTGAGAAATAATGAAATACTAGAAATATATTGTCAAAGCTTATTATGAAAGCTATGCTGTAATTAGGGCTTTTGGTACTCTTTGAAGCCCTGTGGGCACAGACGTCAACCCCTTACTGCCCTCAGTGGGCTTTGACTTACCTAGGGTGTTGGACTGGCTGATGGACACGGGACACTGTGTGCTCCTTGCCAGCTCTGCAGCAGGGAGTGCCTCCCTCACAGGCAGGGGCTCTCTGATGCCTGATGATGTCCTCCTCATGGTGCCTGGCTGCTGCACCTTCCTTGAATGTTGTCATGTAGAAAGAGAGAGACCCTCCCTTGCCCACCATGGGAGGAAGTAGGGCCAGAGGGTCTAATGAAACTCCCTCAACTCTCCTGGCCACACAGTGACATTCCACATTTTTTTATTCAAAGTCCAGGGCTTTGGTGGTGAAGAGAGAAAACATTAGAAGAATGGCTGCCATCCTGGCATTGTATCCATCCTTTTTCTGCCAACCTCAAGTAGACAGTGCCAGGGAAGAAAGCATCCAAGTGGTGAAGTGAGAAAGAAGCTTGAAAGGTTTCTTCATAGCCAGACAAGGACTGATGCCAGGCAGAAGCTACCTCTGTCCCTTGGAGCCCCATGTTCCTGGTCCCTGGACATGGTCAGTGTCTGAGGGGACAGCCAGGATACCCTGCCTTGTGAGTTGCCGCCCATCTGGGAGTCACTGATCCTTACTCCTTCCTCTCTGGTGGCCATCTTGGATGGGGTGGGAAGAAGGACAGGCTGCCAAGCTTGAGATAAAAACACCTCCCAAGCAAAAAGGCTTTGTAGGTCAAAGAGAGACACTTGTGCTTGTCTTTTGTCCCAGGGTGAGGTGAGGTGCTCAGGCAGCTGCTGGCCTTTCTGAAATCTTTGATCAGATCTATTGCTGCTGCTTGCCAATCCGTAATTATATATTTGGTTTAAAGGACCAAGTGTGCTTAAAGTGAATTCTGGCTATATTCCCTAGCCTCTCCAGTCCCTCAGCTGGTTGGATTAATTTTATTATTGGTCCAAAGAAGTTGAGCTAATTTTTTATCTTAGATTCTGTGACCCTATAAGCTGTAACAAAAACAACAACAACAAAAAATCAGTGTACTTGTTTCTGTAATCTTTGGTGGTTCCGGGGTTTGAACTCAGGGCCTCATACTTGCTAGGCAGGCGCTCTTACTGCTTGAACCACCAGCCCTTTGTTGTGATAGATTTTTTTCAAGATAGGGTCTCCTGAACAATTTGCCTGGGGCTGGCCTCAAACCTCAATCCTCCTGATCTAATCCTGAGTAGCTAGGATTATAGGCATGAGCCACTGGTACCTTGCTTACTTCTGTAATCTTTAATCTCCTTTTCCTTGAGTAGTAGTAGCACACACAATTTTTTCCCCAGGGAATGAAGAATGGTTGTTCTTTTTTTATTTCCATATTTAGTTCCTAGAATAAAAACAACATTGCCCTAACTATTGAATCAGTAGGTGTTGGGTACTGGAGGGAGCATGGAGCAGAGAGTCAGAAGACCTGGTTCACTTTCCCAGCTGTGTGGTTCTCCTCTTGGTTGTCTTAGGTACAACTCCTGATCTGAATCAGTTACCATCTAGACCCTGTGATTCTGAGACTTCTGGTGGACTTGTGCATGTCAGGAGGCTCATTTAGGTACCTGGCATTCATTTTCAGGTGCCTCACTCACTCACGCATTCGTCACACGCTCAATGGGCACCTGCCATGTGTCAGGCAATGTTTTAGACACTATTCTTGTGGTGCTTGGACTCTTTCCAGGAAGACAGACTTGGACTTGGTAATTGTGTCATAGCACGTGATGGGGGATGGGTGATGCAGAGGGGAAGGTAGCCCCGAACAGAGGCTTAATCCAACTGGGGGACAGGTAAGGAAAAGGATGTTGAGGCTGAGACCTGAAGTAGGGGCTGCCGTTGTGAGGGTTGTGTGGGAGGAAAAGGAGTGGGAAGGCATGGTGGAGCTGGGGGAGTGGCTCTGAACCTTCTGAGGGGGTGGTGAGAGATGAGGCCTCAGAGGTTGTCAGGGGAAGGTGGAAGGCCTCTGGGTCACGCAGAACTGCTTGGACTTCATCTTATGGTGGTCGCAGGTGCTTAAAGGGTTTTTTAAATCAAGGGAGTGGGGTAGCTATGTCCTGGCTTGAGGAGGCACAGTCAGGCAGCTGGGTGGGCTGGGAGGCTCCTGGAGGCCATTGTACTATTCCAGGGAGAGGTGACAAGACCTGGACCATGGATAGATTCCAGAATCATAGTACTGAGGTCTCTAAAGCTTCTCTAAATCAGAAACAAAGTCCTAATTTCAGGTTGCTGTGGCTCACTGAGTTTTTTTCTCCTCCAGATGTGGCAAGTGATGTGGTGACCAGCCTGCCAGGGGCCAGCGTCACCCTCACCTGCCCAGGGGAGGAACCAGCAGACAGTGGAGCTGTTCACTGGGTGCTTGCCAGCTCACAACACAGAAGATCGGTTGGTGTGGGAAGGAGGCTGCTTCTGAGGTCAGTGCAGTTCAGCGACTCTGGGAACTATTCCTGCTTCCTGGACAACCACCTGGCTGGGACTGTGCACCTGCTGGTGGATGGTGAGTTGTGTCTTCAGGGTCCTTGGACATGGCTCTCAGGGCAGCTCCAATGTCCGTAAGAAACATGGTGCTGTGCATTCCAGAAAGATTTCCTGCTTGATCCTTTAAACTTCTGTTATTTCTTTGGCCCAAGAATTTTGGGAAAAAGCACACTGATGTCTGCCAGTGAGATACTAGAGGGAATTCCTGCTGGTGGGGGGAGAGGGGGCACATGGTTGGTAGTAGATGCTGTCTGTCTGGCCTAATGGTGGGTTGGTTAGTAGCATGGGGCTTGGAGCCAGGCAGCCTGGTTTGAATCTTGCTCCTTCATTGCAGCATACCTTCTGTGCCTCTCAGACTCTCCTGGTAAAATAAAGTTAATTCTATTATCTTACCTGAAAGTGTTGCAAAGATTTCAGTACACGGAGTGCTGAAAACTCTGTGTAGCACATACTGACTTCTTAAATTAGCTGTTCTAGAATTAGCAGGTTCTTAGCTCCTTTACCTCTAGGTAAAGACTTCGTAGAGCCCATGCCCTGTGTGCAAACCCTATGCTAAGGCACCTTTCTTTATTGCCTCTCATGTAATCCTTCCAATGACCCTGGGAGGGAAAGCAGTGTTCTTATTATGTCATCACTAGTAAGAGTGGCTCAAGTGGTAGAGTGCCTGCCTAGCAAGCGCCAAGGCCCTGAGTTCAAACTCCAGTACTGAAAAACAAATTTTTTTCCTATGTTATCATCAGTGAATTTTACAGGTAAGGAAAGTGAAAGGAGCCTGGCACTTGCTGAAAGCCACACAGCAAGTCTGTGTGATTTCAAAGCCTTCCCCTTTTGGATTAGCTGCTCGCTGCTTTAGACAGAAGGTCCAGACATAGTGTTTCTCTTCCAAAGCCCAGGATCTTCTTGTCAGCCTGTCATGGGGATTTGTGTATCTTAATTTCCCAGTCTCTATCAGGTCTGCATGTGGCTTAGCTTGGCTGGGCTACCCTGGGTCATGCTGGCTCCAGGTTGCTCTAGGGCAGGTGTGTTCCCGGGAAGCCTTGCGCCTCCTCAGCCTGCTGTGCTCTCTTTCAGTTCCTCCTGAGAAACCCCAGATCTCCTGCTTTCGGAAGAGTCTCCTCAGCAACGTTATTTGCGAGTGGAGTCCTCAGAGAGCCCTGTCCCCGATGACCAAGGCTGTGCTGTTGGTGAAGAAGTTGTAAGTAGCTCTGGGTGGACAGGCTGTGTGTCTATGTCTGATCCATTCTCACTGACTCCCCAGAGCAGTGGTGGGGCTCTCAAAGGAACCCCTTGGAACTGACTGAGCAGGGATTGCAAAATTTTATTAGTAGAAAGTAGCTCTTAAGGTAGAAGTGGAGTAGCACAGTGATAGATTGAGCACTTGCCTAGCACGTGTGATGCCCTGGGTTTGGATCCCAGCACCTTCAAAGACAGACAGAGAGAGAGAGAGAGAGAGAGAGAGAGAGAGAACCTGAGAAAATAATTAAATAATTCCTTTGGGGTAAGGAAGAGGGGAGTAAAGAAGGAACTAAGCCCTTGTCCTGGGCTGGGTGTGTGCTGGGAGCTATTAATGCAATTGAGCTAGCAATGGGAAGTGAGTGTCATGTTTATCACTAAACAAATAGAGAAACCAACGTTCGGAGAGACTGAGGGATTTCTTTAAGGTCATCTAGCTATTAAGTGACTGTTGGGAATGCAGTCCCACGATGGGCTGTCTGATTCAACTAAAGTCCAAAGGGTTTGTGTTGCTTTGAAGAAGATAAATGGTCCTGGGAGAGGGAAGACCACTATCAGCGCCTTGACTTTGTGAGCATCTCAGGCTTTTTTCATTACAAAGGCAGGTCACAGGAAGTGGTCATGGGTGGGGAGCTGGAGGGAAGGGGTGGGGGGAACAGAAGTCATGCTTGCCTGGGGTCCCTGCCCTGCCACTAGAAGCTGACATAAATTGGGGAACGTGAGATGGGATTAATTTGATGTATAGGAGGTAGAAGATGATGAAAACCATCACAGCCTTGCAGCCTTGCCTGTCTCCAGCCTGAGTCATGGCCCCCCCCATAGTCTAGATGTTTACAACTGAGTTAAGCGGTCAGTGGTCAGTCATCAGAGTACAGTAGCCCCCTTATCCGGGGTGACCCTCGGTCAACCGTGGCCAAAAATATTAAGTGGAAAATTCCAGAAATAAACAATTCATGAGTTTTAAATTGTGCCATTCTGAGTAGCTTGATGAAATCGTGTGCTGTCCTGCCCAGGTGGTGAATCATTGCTTAGTCTAGCCCACCACGCTGTTCACTTAGTCACTTAGCATCTCAGTTACCGGTGTTTGCGCTCAACTAAACAGTCCCTGCTTAATAATGGCTCAAAGCTCAAAGCAGCGATGCAACCCTGTCTGTCATGGCAGGACAGACTACTCTGGCACTGTGTGGCGACGCTGCGGGCCTGCAGGAAATCAGGGCACACGTGGGGTTTCAGGCCTTTGCTGGGGGTGTATCCTCCACAGATAAGGGAGAGCTGCCATGTCAGAAAATCAGAGCGGTGACTTTAACACACTTTGGCTTTCAGGCCCCAAAGAGTTGCTAGGAAGGCTGGTAGTAAGGTTGACGTTCTGGCCTCTATGCAGAAAAGTGGGAGTTACCCATCTGCAAATGTCACAGCTGACATCAGGACCTTTAGCAAACACCCAAGTCAGGGAGACTGGAAAGTCTTGCAGCCTGGCTGAGTTTGGATACACATCATTCAGAACTGGAAGGCAGCTCTCTATGGATGGCATGTTCTATGCAGGGTGCCTTTACTTTCCACCCTGCACCTTTGTCCACAGGAAAAGGCACACCCTCCTCCTGAGCCTCAGGATCCCATGACACTGAGAAAAGTAGGAGGGGGACTCCAGAGCCACAGGCCCCACCTGGACCCTGAGGCTGGGGGTGACACAGGCCCCAGGAAAGAGGGTATATGTGTTCTGCCCTTGCTCTGGGGTGCACTTGCCTTTGTGTCCTCACCCCACCACGTTACTCACTGGCTAACCCTAGTGCCTGGGGAAGTAACGTCTGCCCTGGACTAGGAGCCATGCTGTGGCTATGGGAGAGACACCAGGGGGACAAGGCTGGGCCCTGCTCTCCAGCGCCAACTCCACCTTATCAGGTTAAGGGGATGGAATCCTCTGTGGTGTTGAAGGGCAGCAGCGCAAGGGTGGAAAGGCTCCCCAGAACTAAGACTTTGTCCCACTGGACACATCCTGGGCCCAGGGTTCAAAACCAAGACAGTGATTAGTGACTTGTCATCCCAGCCGTAGGGCGAGTGTCTGCAGTGGCCTCACCTGCCCACATGTGTCATAGATGGGTGAGGTCTCAGGCTTCCAGGTCAAGTGGGATGGTGTGTGACTCACCTCCAATGTCTTCAATCAAATGTCTCCAGAATTCAGGACTCGCCTGCCAGAAATTCTGTTACCTCCCAATGAGGCCCTCTTGCATCTTGTGCTTCTGTGGTGCTAACGCATTTCCAAGGGCACCGCCTCACATCTGAGGGTGGGGCTTTTTGTTAGTGCCCCGAGGCAGGCAGGTGGTTGTCTTCACTTTTGCATCTTGGAGTGCAGGCATGAAGTTGGTACTTGCCACATCGTGAAATGATGCATGAGTGATTGGCTAAGCTGCTACCCCCCAGCACCCCTACCACCACACACTGTGCCTGGCACTATGCTATATATATATATATATATATATAAAATTTTTGGCGGTACCATGATTTGAACTCAGGGCCTCATGCTTGCTAGGCAGGCATTCTACCATTTGAGCCCCTCCACTAGCCTTGTTTTGTGTTGGGTATTTTTGAGATAGGGTCTTGAGAACTATTTGCCTGGACTTCGAACTGCAAACCTCCTAATCTCTGCCTCCCGAGTAGCTAGGATTACGGGCGTGAGCCACTAGAGTCCAGCTCATATTTTTCAATTAGTTTTGAGCCAGGGTTTTGCCGTATAGCCCAGGCAATATGGCCTTGAACTCTTAATCCTCCTACCTCAGCCTTCCTAGTGCTGGGATTACAGATGCTCCACCACCACATACAGATGGTTTGATGAACCTTCATAGAACCCCTATCAGATGGTACTACCAATATTCCCATTTTCAAGTGAGAACACAGAAACTCAGAGGCTGAATAACTTGCTTGAAGTCACAAAAACTACTAACAGCTAGTAGTCTGCAGCAGGGATTTAAGGCCTGGGATTAGACTTCAGTGTCTGAGCTTTTAAACCCTGGGCCTGGGCTTCTTTCCCCTCCTGGAAAAAAAAAAACCAAACAAACAGAAACTAACATAGCAGCCCTGCCCTTATGTTGGTCCCACAGAAAGAAAGTCCCGGCACAGGACTTCCAGGAGCCGTGCCAGTATTCCCAGGAGTCGCAGAAGTTCTCCTGCCAGTTGCCAATTCCAGAAGGAGACAAGTCTTACCACGCAGTGACCCTGTGTGTTGCTAATGGTGTGGGAAGCAGATCCAGCAGTGAGGAGGCGTTTGAGGGCTATGGAATCTGTAAGTAAGCTCTCCCCTCCCTGCAGAGGAGTCTTTCTCTTTTGATTTAATATTCCTTATCCCTGGGAGAGGGCAGGGAAATGGGAGTGGAGGGGGTTAGTGAGCATGGCTTACCAGGAGGTCTGACTGTAATGGATGAAGGTCCTGTCAAGACGTGCATGGGGGCGGGGGCGTGACCTAGCATGTGAAAGGCTGTGGGTTTGATCCCCAGCACTTGGGGGTGGGGGTGGGGAAGATTGCATGGGGAAAGGACTAGGGCTGGGGCTGGAGGTCCTGCCTGCCTAGACAGCGTTCTGCAGACTCTTCCTGGGCCTGCCCCCTGCACCATGCTTGCTGTTGCATGGAAGCCCTGCTCCTCCTCCCACAGTGCAGCCTGACCCACCCATTGACATCATGGTCACTGCCATGGCTGGAAATCCCCGCTGGCTCAATGTTACCTGGAAAAACCCCCACTCCTGGAACTCGAATTTCTACAGGCTGCGATTTGAGCTCCGATACCGGGCCGAATGGTCAAAGACGTTCACAACGTTGATGGTAAATTCTTTTCTATTTCTAAACAGAGAAGCAGCCCTAGACACTTGGAGGTGGTGGAAGGTTACAAGAAAGGAAAGAAAATGGGTTCTAGGTCCTGCTTCCTCCCTGCACGGTGATGAGTAAGCCATTAGCATTGTGAGCCTTGGTCGCCTCATTTATAAAATGATAATGATGCCAGGCCAGTCTCCTCTTGGCGAGCCTATCTGAGGGAACAAGAGCATGACAAGGGGGAGATTTGAGCTGTAAGCACGTCAAGGGCTGTGGCTGTCAGGATTCTGGCGTGTAAAGGGTTGGGACAGTGACTAAAACCATCAGCCTGTGTGGCAGAGTGGCATGAGCCTGTCTGCCTGCTGGAGGGCAGGGTGGCTGAGGGCACCCCTCCTTGTGGTGCTGCCCCACCAGGGTCCACCCAGAGTCATGATGTCTCCCACCCTCAGGTTGAGGATACTCAGCACCGCTGCATCATCCATGATGCCTTGCGAGGCATGAGGCATGTGGTACAGCTCCGGGCCCAGGAGGAGTTTGGGCTTGGTATGTGGAGTGAGTGGAGCCGGCAGGTCACAGGCACTCCCTGGACAGGTACTTTGATGGGTGTGGAGGGAGGATGGGAGGTTTCAGCTTTGCTGTGGACAAGTCACCCCAAAGCTAGGGCTTCAAACAGCCACCATTTATTTGTTCAAGTTTCTGAAGTCAGCCAGCAGTTTGTCTGCTGGCCTTTCTTTTCTGGATCGCTAGTGCAGCCACTGTCAGGTCTGGAGGGTCCAAGGTGGCTTCTCTTGAATGTTCGACCACTGGAGCTGGCAGGTGACTGGGCCTTTGGTTCTCCCTGTGCTTCTCACCTTCTGGTAGGCTAGGCCAGCCCAGCTGGAGAGGCAACAGGAAAGAGGGCTGAGGGTAGGAATCACTCACAGTGGAGTAGGAGGCATTGTAAAAAATTTTATCTATCAATGCTATTTATCTTTTCAAAGATGTTAAAAGTAATAATCATTGCTTTTGGGGGATTATTTAAACTAGAGTGGGTGTCAGTCACTTTTTGTTGCTGGGACAAAATACCTGAGAAAACAACTTAAGGGAGGAAAGGTTCTTTTGGCTCACCATTTCAGAGATTTCAGTCCATGGCTGGCTGGATCCATTGCTTTGGGTCTGAGGTGAGGCAGGACAGCATGGTGAACAGGGAATGGTGGGAGCAGAGCTGTTCTCCTCATGGCAGCTAGGAAGCAGAGCCTGAGAAGGAGGGACAGGGCACAAGGTATACCTTTAAGAGCACCACCCCCTGGCCCAGTGATTCACTTCCTCCACCTGGGCTGCACCTTTCAGTTTCCACAACTCAATGCTACATCAATTGTGAATCCATCAATGGATCAATCCATCGATTAGGTCAGAGCCCTCAGGACCCAGTCACTTCCCCAAAGCCCCACCCTTGAACATTGCATTGGGGACCAAGCCTTTGACATGAGTTTGGGGGGGGTTATAGTTCATATCCAAACCATAACAGCATTTTTGTCATAAAACATTAAAAAATTCCAAGAAAACATGAAAAACAATAATTATCACCAGTATTTTTACCACCTAGGAAAAAACCCATGGGAACATTTTAGTATACTTTTTTCTAGGTACATTTATGCATGTATATGAGCATTCCTTATGTTATCACATATTTTTGAAAGTGTATTGTTTAGCAACTGCACAATTAAATTTTTTTTAACCCTTGGGAGTTTCTGTTTTTAACTTTTAAAATTGTTATCAATGGCTGGGTGCCAGTGGCTTATGCCTGTAATCCTATCTACTTGGGAGAATGAGCTCAGGAGGACCTTAGTTTGAGGCTAGCTGGGATAAAAAGTTAGCAAGACTCCATCTCAACCAATAGAGGGATGCAGCCATGCCATCCACTTGTCAACACTTCTAGTGGGAAGGGTAAAGTAGGAGGGTCATGGTCCAGGCTGGCCTGGGCAAAAAGTGAGACCCCCATCTCCAAAATAACCAGAGCAAAATGGACTGGAAGTGTGGCTCGAGTGGTAGAGCACCTGCTTAGCAAGCACAAATCCCTGAGTTCAAACCCCAGTATCCTCCTCTTTCCCCAAAAAATGTTACCAATGAATACATCTCCATGGTAAAGAAATCCAAAAGGACTTAGAATACCTGACTGCGGCCTTTCCCATTTCTAGTCCTGCTCTCTGACTGTTCCTAACTCTTTTTCTGGACTCCTTTTTTTTTTTTTTTTCATTTTTCTTTTATTATTCATATGTGCATACAAGGATTGGTTCATTTCTCCCCCTGCCCCCACCCCCTCCCTTACCACCCACTCCGCCCCCTCCCTCTCCCCCCCCAATACCCAGCAGAAACTATTTTGCCCTTATCTCTAATTTTGTTGTAGAGAGAGTATAAGCAATAATAGGAAGGAACAAGGGTTTTTGCTGGTTGAGATAAGGATAGCTATACAGGGCATTGACTCACATTGATTTCCTGTGCGTGGGTGTTACCTTCTAGGTTAATTCTTTTTGATCTAACCTTTTCTCTAGTACCTGTTCCCCTTTTCCTATTGGCCTCAGTTGCTTTGAGGTATCTGCTTTAGTTTCTCTGCGTTAAGGGCAACAAATGCTAGCTAGTTTTTTAGGTGTCTTACCTATCCTCACCCCTTCCTTGTGTGCTCTCGCTTTTATCATGCGCTCATAGTCCAATCCCCTTGTTGTGTTTGCCCTTGATCTAATGTCCACATATGAGGGAGAACATATGATTTTTGGTTTTTTGAGCCAGGCTAACCTCACTCAGAATGATGTTCTCCAATTCCATCCATTTACCAGCGAATGATAACATTTTGTTCTTCTTCATGGCTGCATAAAATTTCTGGACTCCTTCTTAACTCTAAATGACAAGCTTATATGGTGCCTTTTAAAAAAAAATCCTGATACAACCACCTGAGATATTGTCTAGCCTGCCATGATGCATTGGGATTTAGCAGACTTAGATTGCAGGAGTCTCCCTGGCCACGGCAGAGAGTGATCACCCAGGGCTCACCACCCTTTGTAGCATGCTTGCTAGAGTCCCAGGATTTGTACTGTAGAATGGCTCCCAGACTCACTTTTGGGTCAAGTCTCTCTACCCTTGGAACATGACTGAACCAAGCTAATCATTTCTAAATACTTGGCAAATAAAAAAAGCATTTGTTAGATGCATGTGCAGAAAAAAGGAAAAAAGAAAAAGGACATCAATTATTCAGTTCTATCCCCTCCCCTTGCCACTTTCTTCCAGCTCTGGGCCCAGGGAGAAAGAAGACTTTTAAGTATAGGTTGCACATTTTTCTCCATGTTGAATGTGATATTGGAGGATGTTGCTTTTCTGTGTGGCTTTGTGCTGTGGGGTCACTGGTTTTGCTGTCCTGGGAAGGGCTGGAGGAATGGGATGGGGATTAGGGGGTCATCCCCATTGAATGTACGTAGCATGTACTGTCAGATCCAGCTTGGGTCTTTGTGGTTCCTTCCCTGCTGCCTGTGCATCAAGAACTAGAGGCAAGCCTGTAATCTTAGCTACTTAAGAGGCTATGATCAGGAGGATCGTGGTTTGAGACCAGCCCAGGCAGATAGTTCATGAGACCCCCGTCTCCAAAATAACCAGAGGAAAATGGGCTGGAGCTGTAGCTCAAGCAATAGATTGCCTGCTTTGCAAGTATGAAGCCCTGAGTTTAAATCCCAGTCCCATGCCTATCCGCCTGCCAAAATAGCAAAGAGTTGGAGGCAGTGGTCTTGTTAGACCCTCTTCTCACAAGTTCTGACCTGCTATGACCTGGATGGGAAGGAGGGTCTAACTACTAAATCTTTCCTAGGAAAACCATTTAAGTCAGTCAGAACACCCCCCTAGATTGGGTTAACCTATTCATGGTTTTCTTTGATTCGTATAAACTTTCAACCCAAACACATTCATTATCTGAATGTCGAACTTCAGTATTCAAAGCCACTTGGTGGCCTTGCGAGGGGAGAGAGTCACTTCTAACACTGCAGAGGAAGTGTTCCAGAACAAGCCAACCAACAATGCCTGTTTTACCTTCTGTCTCCAGTTACTTACTTTAGTCACAGCAGCTTTAAGAAATCCTGTTTTTAGCTGGACTCTGCAGGTGGCACACACATGTAATTCAACGCTCCAGAGTCTGGGGCTGGAGGATGTGGAATTTGTTAGAAAATTTCTTCTTTTTTTCCTGCCAGTGATGGAAATCTAACCCAGGGCTTTGGGCATGCTAGGCAAGTGTTCTACCACTGAGCTTCTTTCAAAACAGTTTTAATTGTGGTAGAAGGTACATGACTTAAAATGTATTATTTTAACTGTTTTTAAGTGTCCAGTTCTGTGACATGTAATAATTCACATTGTTGTGCAATCATCACCACCGCCCATCTCCAGAACTTTTTCATCTTGCAAAACTGAAACTCTGCATCCTTTAAACAATAACTCCCCACTCACCCACCCCTTCCCCCAACAGGCACTCTACCACTTGAGCCACTCCACCAGCTCTTTTGTATGCTGGTTATTTTTAAGATAGGGCCTCTCGAACTATTTGCCTGGGCTGGCTTTGAACTGCAATCCTCCTGATCTCTGCATCCTGTGTTGCTAGGATTACAGGCGTGAGCCACCAGTGCCATGCCTGCTTTGTGTTTCTGAGATGGATTATTCTGGGTATTTCCAGTAAAGGAGATCAGAGATCATACAGGATTTGTCCTTTACTTAGTGTAAAGTCTTCAAGGTTTGTTCTGCTATAGTGCTAATCAGAATTACCTTCCTTTTTAAGGCCAAATAATATTCTCCTGTATGGATATAAAAATATCCACTTATTTGTCAATGGACACTAGGATTGCTTCTGTCTTTGATATTTCAAATGGTGCTGCTGGGAACATGGCTGGGAAGTATCTGTTTGAGTCCCTGCTTTTAGCATTTGTGTATCTGCCCAGAAGTGGAACTGCTGCACAAATGGTGATTCTATTTTTAAGTTTTGTTAAAACTTAAAAGGAAAGGCCACACTGTTTTCCACTGTGACTGCACCATTTTACACTCACAGAGTTCACAAAGGTTCCGGTTTTCCATATCCTCACCAATGCTACTTGTCTTTCTCATTCTCTCTCTCTCTCTCTCTCTCTCTCTCTCCCTCTCTCCCTCTTTCCTTCCTTCTTTCTTTCTTTCTTTTTTTTTTTCTTTAGTGGCACTTGGATTTAAACTCAGGGCTTCATGTTTGCTAGGCTGCTTGAGCCACTCTGCCAGCCCTCCGCTCTCTCTCTTACTCTGTTACTCCGGCTAGCCTCAAACTTCTGGGTTTAAGTGATCCTCCCGCCTCAGCCTTCCCAGTAGCTGAGACTGTAGGTGCACACACTGCACCCAGCATCCTTTATTATTTTTTTAAATAGTAGACATTTGTTCTTGTTTTGAGATAGGATGTCACAATGTGGCCCAAGCTGGCCTCAAACTCTCTATGTAGTCCGGACTGGTTTCAAACTTGAGATCCTTCTGCCTCAGCCTCCCTAGTACTGGGATTACAGGTGTGTGCCACCATGCTTGGCTATATATCTTCTTTAGAGATGTGTCTAGTAGAAAGTTCTTTC